TTCCACCCAGCGAACTTTCAGACTTAACCGGTAGGTAGAGATCCTAGCGAGCAATAACAGCACAACCGTGAGTGGTTCGCGGTCACACTGCTCGCTGCAGCAAATATTGTCTATGGCGTTAGCGAAAACAGAGGCAAATACTGTCCTCGACTTTTTTCTCTACTCCAATACTTGTTTTAGTAACTTCCAGTGCGTGACGGGAGCTAATTTTTTTAACAGCGCTTATAAATAGCGAATATCTTTGAATAGAAACAAATATCAGGACCGAGTTCGACCAGAACCTGGTGAAAGGCCCCTTGTCAATCAATCTCATCCCATTGCCATGTTGGACTGTTTCCCTTCCCTTCGGATTCCATATGCCGCGCCGTGCACCGTCCACGCTCACTATGCGAGCACACTTTACGCTCTCTGCGCCATCTGTACGTGGTTCACTGCGTCACGATGGTGTCTGTTGCTGTTGCTGGCCAACGGGAGGGGGTCTCCATCAAATTGCGTCACCGAACAAATTATCATTTAAAAATATAAGAAAACATAGTCTATCGTCGTAAGCGAAAAATTCGTATTATTAAAACATTAAAATAATTAATTATGTAAATTTGAAATATTAATAAAATGTGTATAAAAAGGGTATTTATTTGAAAAATAAGAGGTCTCTGATAATCTACTTGTCGAGACCTCTATTCTCACGGCGCCCTTCCTTCTAGTTTCCCTCCCCTACACATCTCCCGCGCCAGTGATGCCCTCTTCGCGTTCATGCGTCTAGTGTCTCAACGCGTATAGCTCTCCACGTCTAACTTATGTTGCTGCTGTTTTCCCTCGCTGATTCCTCTTCGCGTGCAAGCCTTTGCGCGAGACGCGCGGCGTCAATGACATTCACGTCGCGACGCAATTCCACCCCTCTCCTCCCCCGCAAGCGAAGGCGACCCCCCTCCCCGGCCCCCCCTCTCAAGCCGTACCCGCCCCGCTCCCTCTCAACCCCGCCCCACCACCCACCCCCCTCTCGCCCCGAACCGCCCTCCCCACCCGCCCTCGCTCCCACTCACCCAGCCTCGCCCACCCCGCTTTGCTCCAGGCCAACGACCGAAGGAAACGCGATGCAAAGGGCATCTCGCTATGAAATGCGTGGGGAACGGCAGGCTGCTGCTGCTGGTTCTCGTCCGCTGTATATTGCAACGCCCACAGAACGCACTCGCATAGCTACGTTCGAGCAGTATTTTACGCTTCAAACAGTTGTGAAGCGAAATGAAAACAAGAATGTCTCTATTTGCGTGCAAAATGAAATTTGTTGTTTTGTGATATTCATTTCGAGTTACATTTGAGATAAACAGAAGAGAAACATTTGCTCAATATTACGTTCGTATTATGGCATTGCTGATACTGCAGTTATTTTGTAGTGAAAATATACACTTTGTTGTTTTTTATCAATAATGCATTTTTTTCAAATTTGACAAAATTGTATACATTTTGTGTATTAGTTGATTATATAAATTTTATATACCCTTTATGTTATTTGATTGCCTGTATTCATTGTGAATAGTAGAATATTACTCAATAAACCAGTGTCATTGATGGACGTTTGTATGTTATTTTCCACACTCCACAACGGAGACAGAGAAAAACATTCTTACACGTATTTTTAGGGTGTCTTGTTAATAAATGTTTCAAATTACTAGGAAATGTAAGAGGTCGAAGATGACCTCTTTTTGAAAATTAACATGTAATGGGGAATTTTATATTACTATGTTACATCTGAGTAATTTGCCTCTGATTCGTTGGTAACCCAACATTTATAGGTCACGTTTTGACTAAGTCAACGAGACTTCATGTACTTGCCGAAAAGCATGAATAGTGAGTTGTCTATCATTTAGGGGCAAATTTCATGTGTGTAAGAAATTTCCCACCAAATTTTCATTGGCAAAAAGTGGTTCTCTTCAACCATTCTACACGCCCTCTAAGTTTGTAATCTTATTTGACTTAAAATGATAAATATGTAGCTTTCTAATACAATTGGTTTTAGTTTTCCTAGCTGAGTGACGAAATAGGCAGGATCAGGCAGGCCAAATAAACAGGTACGGTTATGGAAATAGGTCATGATTGCCGCGTCTTCCTTGTCCTCAGGCGTGGGTAATAAATAGAAACAGAGACATAAAATGACATTACATTCAGAGATGGATTCTTAATAGGAGTATAGGTAATATTTGAAATAACGTTTTTTTCAATACCTATCCCTCTTTTTACTTTTCCTAAACTTCGAAATTATATTACAAATTTTTATAATAAATATCAAAATTCATTAAGTTTTTGCCCTAGAAGTGCCTTAGAAAGTTTTCTGTAAATCCGCTGTCAATGCAGGGCGGCTGGGTGACGGACGCGGCGACGGGCGGATGGGTTGGGTGCGTCGGATTGGTTTGGCGTGGACGGCGGAGGCGCGGCGGGTGGTCGAGTTGAGCAGGGGGGCCGCGAGGGAAGGGCGCGTAACATGTGGGGCAGCGGGGCGCGAAAGCGCGAGCTCGGAACGCGGGCAGCGGCCGGGAACCCGGGCGCGTGGCGTGCGAGATGCCATCAGCGCGGCGCGTGTGCGGGGACCCGGGCCCCTGCACGCACATTCGCCAGGTTGCTCAAGGAGCAAGAAAGGGCGGTTCCGCACGACGTGCTTGAGCCAGAGAAAGATTTGCAATTATGGCGTAAGATCGCTGCAAGTTAAGTTAGGTGTTTTAAAGTTTATTAGCAGAGCATTTGTTACATTGATTGGAGTAATTGTCAAATTTAATATGAGGTATTAATTTCTCCGTCTGTGCGCGGTGGGTGTACGTGTCACATACACTGAACAGCTTATTTCCAAAGTTATGTGCCTCCATTTGCGTTTGTTTTCTACTTTTGATATCAATTAAGACGCTTTCCGTCATACTGTCTAATTTTGGGTACAAAAATTGCATTTCTTTTAAGTTAAAATGGTATCCGAAAATCCTACCGTGAGCTATGAGTCTGAATGTGAATTCTGCCCCTCCTGAAAAGTTATGTTTCCTGGAGATGGTTTATGAAAAAATCTCTTTAATTGAGCTCATGGGAACATTGTTGTAGAACTTGGTCGGGTATTTCCTCAGGAGTTTCTTGTAGAAGAGAAAGATGTACAATTCTATTGTAATTCTATCAGGAATACAATTTGGAATTATTTGTAAGAATGTAGAAAATTATATAAGCCGTTACGATTTGTTTAATATAAGTCCTTTAAATATTTATTTGTGAGCTCATGGTCGGGAGAGTGAATGAATGATTGAAATTAAATACGAGTATGAAGTACCGCTCTGCCTGCGTGTCTACCATAAGCTTTGCACAAATATTTTACGGTCATAGAGCTAGGGTATCAGAGCCATATCCCAAAACGTTCTTAGGGGAAAAATGTTCTACAAAAAACTTTATATTTTGATCGTAAGATTGCTCAAATTAACTTAGTCATTTTAATGCATGTTTGCTGGTCTCAATCGGAATGTGTGCTAGACGAAAGGTATGACTTCTGCCCTTTCAAAATGGTTCCAATTGATTTTAGACTTCAAAATATTCCTTCTAAAATGTCTGGCTACGTTCCCAGAGAACACAATATTGAATAGAAAATCAATTTACATTCTTCCGTATTGTGCACTTCAGTCAGAAATTCCTGTATTGATTTTTTCAGCAACTATTGAAAGAACATCAAAAGAGAAACAATTATTTCCTCGATCTTTCCTCGATCAACCAAGGGGCAATAACCACATTTTTATTTGCTTACGTCATTCAGCGAAATCAACCTCATTTTACGAAAATCCATTGGGTCTCTTTCCCGATCGTAATATTTCTCGTTTGTAAAGAAATTACGAAATAAAGAATGGAAAACTTTACAGCCACGTTTTGTTATAATTACACAAATTTGATTTAATTACTTAAAGCGGGGCATTATTAATTAAACTTCAATAAATGTTTATTGAGGCCAAATGAATGATGACATTTTTTAATGCCCTGCATAATGAATTCAAATCAAGTTGCCTGTCGCCATACAGTTTTTTGTAAACAACAGTGATACAGTGAAGTTGCGTTTCGTGTTTATTTCTTGCTATTAGTTCTGCAATTAGGCACTCACAAATGTATTCGTAAAACACTAAATATGTTGATACGTGAACGTTCATAAAATCCCATTTTTCATACACGGGTTGGAATGGTTTTATTTATCGATGTCGGGATATAGAGATATAATGATGAATGTACATGGGGCTAACGGAGGGGCAGAGAAAGTACGGCAAAGACAAAACCTGCCAAAAATCCACTTCGAATACCCAATTCCAAAACATGAATCGTTCCTGAGGTTTATTCCCAGTATCAGTATGGAAAAAGCCAAAGAGGTTCTGGAATTCCAATGGTAATAGGCCAAATGAAAGGGCTTGCTCTTAGAAAATTCCCTATACCACAAAGACATAGTCGGCAAAATAATAATATTCCCTAATATATACTCGATAATCGATTCTTATGTCTAATAAGTGATGTTGGTAATGAAATAATGGCCAAATCTGTAATACATTAAAACGCTTTGTTAAAAAACTTTTTTCCTAACTTACACGAATAGAACTATAATATGTACGTTACACGCGAAAAGTAAAAAATTACATGCCCTCTCGTGTGTTCAAAAAATTTGCCCATAGTTTTTCGGACTTTTAACGGAATTAACATGGTTAAAAAGATAATAGTGAAAGTTTAGAAACAGTTCTCATTCCTTATGCGTCCTAAATCATCAACAATGAGACAGTTTTCTAAAAAAAAAAGGTTTCGCCTCCTCGTTATTAGTGTTTGTAAAAAACTTGCTGTGCCGCCATAGCTCACAGCATGCCGCTCTACCCGAGTCTGGTCCTTCCCATGATCGCACCTGGTGCTTGCCCGCATCGCGTCCCGCTCTCACAACTTCCTCCGAGCAAGCTGCCCCGCGAGTTGAGGTCAAACGTGCGCGGCCGTTGGCGGCGGAATTAAGCGGCAAGCTATGGTGTTAATGACGCCGGCCGCCACCGCGGCGAGCCGGCGTGCCGCCCGTTAAATGGGGGTGACGTGGCGGCGCTCGTAAATCCGTTCGGCTTGCGATCAATATGGGTAACGAATGAATGACGGCGCTCCTGGAAAATAAAATACTTGCTGCAATACGCCTTACTGCTCGGGGTGAGTTTACGCTCATCTTGTTGCTGATGGCAATTCGCGGCAACTCCGATTTTCTATATATTTTGGTAGATAATTCGCGGGTTGAGAAGTACGTAAATAAATTGAAGATGGCTTCGCCGCTTTGGTTGTATTTTGACTGGTCTCTCGCAAAACAAAAGAAAATATTAGAAAACTTTCGTTTTAATCTGATTGGCAGGAAAAGTGTGGTTTCTGTTTTTCACTGTGAACATTGTGCGTGAGTATCCCGTCTTAAATTTATTGAAGTATCAACGGAGTTTAAAATATCGAAGAACAAAACTTTTTGAGTGAGCTACATAAAATAATTGATATGAGAGACCGTAACAAATGTAAAGTACCTGGAAAAAACATTCGAGCATATTAATTAATTTAGAAAAATTTAGAACCGAATGCTCTATTGTTTAAGTGGAACCCACTGGTTCTTTCCGTCTGCTTAAGAGGAGAATAAATAAAGAATCCCGTTAAAGCATATTAATCTAATAAGCGCGAAAGTGAAGAGATTATCTTGCTCGTTGGTTGACCCTTTAAGCATTTTCTGTTCCTCTCTCCACGTTAGGTTTCTCAGTCATGCAGTCCATTACTGCCGCTTTACCATGTTGTCTTTTCGCTTGATCTGTTTTTGGTATTGCCAATTATAAAGTGTCAAACAGTAGGAACATGGAATTGGAATAAGGTCTTGAGATATTTTTAAGCATAATTTGCCTATAAACCAACTTGGGATATTCCATGGTGGAATCCAGCAAGAACCCGCCATAAAGTTGGTTTGAAAACAAGCTTCGCCGGGTAAAAACTTTGCATTGTAGAAGCTTAGAAAAATGGAAATTACCTTTTTTTATTCTTCAATATATATATGCATCTATATTACATATAATATAAACTATAATAATATACATATATATAATATATATATATATTATAGTATATATATTGTCTTGAAAGAAAAACTTAAACCCAGAAATGAAAAATCTGGTGAATTGTGTAAGTTGGTGCCCTTTTATTTCTGTAGTTATTTTATTCCTGATAAACAGATATCTTTCATTTCTTTTTGTAAATAATGAAACAGATTAACAAGTATTTCTATGCTTCTTCAATGCAAATGTTTGCCAAGAAAGCATTTTTTCCCAACGTTTTGAGTGTCCTTATTGCGGCTCACCACTTCGAAATATTTCAATAGTTATTTAGACAAAAACTACTTAAAAATTGTCTTAGAGCGTTTAGTATTCATCGTTTCCTACCGGACACTCCGACATAATTTTCGCCCTTCCAATCCGCTTCTTGACATTTCTTCAGTTTCCGTGCTCCCCTTGTTCTCTATTTAATCCAATCCATTACCCGCAACAAGCGTTGAAACGAACAACGCGCATCATCGTAAGGACTTTGGAAGCCGCGCGCAGCGGCCGGACGCGCGCCGGCGGGATCGGGACAAGCCTGCAGCAGCAGCCTTCGAGAGAGTGTCGAATATTTGCGTCCGGGCGGCGCGCAGGGCGTAGTGGAGAGCGAGCTGGAGGTAGGTTGGGAGGAGGGGAGAGCGAAGGACCGCAGAGAAAGGGACGGATAGACGGTCGCGGAGATGGGGCGAGGGTAAGTGACGCGACCGGTCGGCTGGAGCTGGTAGGGGGGTGGGACGGGCGAGGGCGCGGGTGTCGTGAAGGAAGGCTGAGGGCAAGGCGGTAGAGTCGGGGCGGAGTTGGGTAGGAACGGAGCGAAACGGAGGAGGACGGGACCAAGATGGAGAGGTTCTAGACGTCCTGCCGTGAGATGCGGGTGAGGCGAGGCTGGTGGTTGGCAGCTGGCGAGACTAGGACGCGGACCCGTGGCGCGACGCTGGAGCTGAGGGGGGGCGAGGGCGTGGAGCGGGGCGCAGGGGCCGGGGGGCGCTGCCGTGGAGAACGACGAGGCCTGAGGCATAGGACGGTAGCGAGTTGGGGCGGAGTTGGTAGGACGGTAGCAGGCGGAGGAAGGGAGACGGAGCACGCAGAGGAGACGATGAAGAACGGCATCTAGAGCGGTATCCTGCCGGAGATGGTGCTGAGGGAGGCCGGTGGTGGCAGCTGGGGCAGACTGAGAGCGGAGCGTACCGCGGAGCTAGGCGGCGGGCGGGAGGGCGGGCGGCCCGGGGCGGGTCCCAGGGGGGGGCCGGGGTGGCTCTTGGAGAGACGCAGGCCGTGGGAGCGAACGGTACGGGTGTGGGGGCGGAGTAGGTAGGACAGTAAAGGAAATGGGGATGGGACATGGAGAGGAGGAGGCGGAGACACTGTCCGGGCATAATGGGGTGAGGGAGACCGTGGTTTGAGGCAGCTGGGAGACCGGTCTGGCAGGGGCCGGGCCGGAGCTCGCAGCGAAGGGGGGGTGAGGGCGCGAGCGGAGGCCAGGGTGGCGATCTGCGACGGGTTGGGGTGCGGGCGGAATCGGGAGCCAGAGGGGCGGGGGTACGGGGCGGGCGGCGGGAGTGACGAGCGGGGGCAAAGGCGCGAGCACCGCGGTCGAACCGCCGCCGGAGCGGGGGAGGGCGTCGGGGGGGCGTCGCGAGGGGCAGGAGCCGAAAAGTCGCCAGGTAGGCCGGCGATCGATGGACGGGCGCTGGTATCGAGCCCCACTGCCACTGCTGCCGCGCCGCCACCGGGACCTGCGCTGGCGATTTATTACCCACGT